CGCGACATTTTTACGTATTTTGGGAATAGCGCGACACAAACATTTAAATCGGGAACGTCCCCGTTCGCGATTCGTTCCCGATTTAAATGTTTGTGGCGCGCTATCCCCAAAATACGTAAAATTTTTTTTAGCGATAAACCCGCAAACTTGTGTCTTCTGAGGATTAAACTGGACTAGATTTAGCCGCCCCCAATCCGAGACTTTATTCAGCAAAGACTCAACTTCAGACACAAGTATGTTCCGGTACTCGGCGACGTTTTCTCAAGAAGTATAGAGTTTCACCAGTGCTGTCATCCGCATGGCAATTAATGTTACTAGTTTGCAGCATATCATTGAAATGCAGAAGAAACAGTGTTATAGCACGCAGCCATATGGAACGCAAGCATTAATAGCTTGTAATCGGAGCATGCACCGTCTACAACGAACTTTATGTTCCGATCTGTAGGAAAGCTGGTGATTAAATCGCACAATTTCTCGGGAAGCCCATAGGAAGGGAGCTCCGAAAGAAGCGCTTTGTGCCAAGCCCGAACGAAGGCTTTCGCAATGTCCAAACTAACGGCCAATGCCTCCCCATTGGACTCTACTGCTTTCGCCCATCTATGACTGGTGATATAATACTAATCAGCTGGTGATTCTCTATGTACCGCATGAGCTGGCAGTTTATAATGGATTCCATTATTTTGGAGAACAAGAAGGTGATGGCAATAGGTCTATAGTTAGACGTATTAGAGCGGTCGCCTTTTTTATGGATCGGGTGCATTTCGGTGATACGCCTAGGGAGTAGGAGTACCGGAAAAGTCGCGTTAAAACCGGTGCCAACTCTGTATCATATGTCCTCGGCACAATTGGGGGAATTCCGTCAGGCCCACTCGACTTGTGGATGTCCGGAAAGAAGAGTGATTTACGAACCGAGCGCTGTGTGAACTGCACATCCGACATGGAGCACTCACATCACGGAGTGGTCGGCGGTGTGCTCCCCTCATCATCGAGAGTTAAGTTGGACACAAAGAAAGAGCCTAGCAGATCGACTTTCTCCTTTACTGCATGGGCCAGTGAGTCATCCTCCCTGTGCAGATATGGAAGAGATGGCTGACAGAAATTCCCTTGGACAGCCTTGGCGAGAGACCAGAATGCACGAGTTCCAGAAGGAACTAGTTTTTCACCAATTCTGCCTATGTGCTCTAACCTTGCCTTGGCAATCATTCTTTTGAAGGGCCTGGAGGCGGAATTATACTTCTTTTTAAGGACGCTGGTATTTACATCCTGGGACGTTGATGCGTCAGCCCAGGCCCGGTAGTACTCTTGATTATAGCATGATGCTATTTTACAGGAGCGACTAAACCATGGCTGAGATCTGCCTCCGATGGGAAAAGTTCCATACCCTGAAGTACCACGCCAGCGACAGAATCAGCAACAACGTTGGGGTCGTCCGGCGAGAAACAAACCCTCAAGGGTAGGATGCAACGAAAGACCGCATCCTATCCCAATCGGCCGACCTATAGTGCCAAACACAGTGGCAACCTGCAGGACACTCCGGACATGACAATGGTCCGACGAGCCTAGACGGGCGTCAACGGAAACTTGATATCCGTCCGGATGACGTCAGCAGAAGGTCCAACAGGGAAGGTACATAATCCTCCACATCTGATATCCGCGTAGGAGAAGTAACCAGCTGCCAAGGCAAAGTCATGAACAGACTCCCCGCATAATCGGTTAAACGTGAACCAAGCCATTCAGCGTGGTGGGCACCTTGGTGTTGTTGCTCAGCTTGCCCCGAGCAGTTGTCTTGAGCGGATTTTGTCCCCTCCCCCTCCCGAATACGCGGGGCAGCTTGAGCACCCACGCTAAGGAGTGGGCTTGGTCATGAAAGCTCAGCGAGGGATTCTCCAGGGGTGCCGGTACCCTCCTGGGTTAGTCTTAAGTTTAATTCCGCTGCCATGTTGATGAAAGGGAAGGGGGATTGGACCTTCGGCCACGCCTCCATGGAAGCCGAAAAGCTGGGCTTGTCTTATCAAGCTTCTCGATTATCAACTAATAAATAACTCATAAGCTGTTTCAAACTATTTCAAAATTCCCGCGCGCTGCTCTGTTCTACACACGTCAGAACTAAACTCGTAGCCTTAGCGATACTGGCGTCATAAAAAAAGGAGTTGAGCGATTAGTCGTCTCTTTCACACGCGTGAGCAGTTTACCGGGCTTTCGAGAAGACAATCGCTCCCTTTCTAACCTGTGGCAAAATGTTCTATAATGAAATATAATTACGAAATGTTTACATAATTTAATTAATTTATAATTTAATAATTTTACTATTAGTATGAAGCAAAAAGCCTGGCTTTATAGTGTGAATTTGTGTGCGGGCGATACGTTTGCAAGTTCACTTCACATTTCAATGTTTACTCTATACTCTGTTTGTTTACTTGTGATGAATTGAAGTGTGTTAAAATGCTAATCGGCGAGATAAAGGTAAAATCTTTAAACTTTGTTGAGAAAATACACAAGGTTAAGAGCGTCTTTCAGACTTATAAATTATCGAAATTGAAAAACAGTTATTGGTACAATTAAAACGTTCACCAACATTTTACGCGGACGTAATCAAATCTTTTCTTAAGAAAGAGAGACAGACAATTCGATTTAGAATATAAATAATTTGTTTTATTAATTTTGTACATAGTTTGTTTGTACTTTGTTGATGCTTTTCTTTTGTTCATGTATTGTATGTAAATATCTTTTTCTTTCGCTCAAACAAACCCAAACGGCTTTTTTCAAAGCCTTTTTATGTATTTTTTTTGTCTTCTTCTAACCCCCAAGGCCACACACTCGTCGGGAAATAGCGAGGAAAGAAGGCAGAGACGTAGTGTCGCCACAATCCTCATCATGCCGCACGTCATGCTCCTCGTCATGCCCATCGCTCCCACGCGAGTGACCTAGTGTGGAGCGTCGCGATTAATTGCGCGAGTAGAACAGTGCATTGTGTGAACAGACAGCGCAACATCGATGAGCGACGAGCAGCGCGAGGAGCATAATAATTGTGCTATCAAGTTATTTTGGATATAATTAGTCAGGTCATAAGTTCTGTCAAAAACTTTTTATAAAATTAATGACACATTTGATAATTATATAGAAATTGTATATGAAATGAAAGATAATTTAATTATTACGTTATTCAAAATGCCCTTCCCTATTTTGAATACATGCCCTTAATCGACGCAGCCAATTATCAATCGCAGCACGCACCACACTCATACTATTTGTTCTACCGCTGCTTAAACCAAAGATGCTCGGAGAGATTCCAAATTCTGATAAGGTTTAGCGGAGACCAAATTTTTCCATATATTATAATCCAGTGAGCTTAAATCTGGACTAGAAGAGGGCCAGTCCTTATGTCCGATAAAGTCAATTCCATGGGCGGTCATCCAGTTTTGCGTGCTTCGTGCCCTATGAGCTGATGCGGAGTCGTGTTGGAATATCCAATGTCTGTTTTTGAACATTATTTGAGAAAGAGGTTCCACTATGTTTGTTAGGACGGTATTTTGGTACAACTCGACACTGGTTTTTACATCTTTTTCACAAAAAAACACCTTAGCCTGAATATGAGACTCCAAGCCAAACCATGAGTGACGAAGGATAATGTGCTCGTTGAACCCTCGGAATACGTGTGCTGGCTTCTTCACTACTATGGGCAAACACCTTATAATTTTTTTATTATAACTTTCCTCGATGTTAATAATATTTTCATCCGAAAACAAAATTTCACGGTATTTTTTCCGCGTACCGCCGTAACAAAGCGCGGGATCTATCCAATCTAATTTCTTTCATACGCTCGTTCAAAAAATGTCCGGTCTTCTTACGATAAGCTCCTAGTCCTAGGTCTTTATGGATCACTCTTTTGACCGTGGTTCTGCTTAGGCCCATCTGAAGAGCTAAGATTTGTTGTTTATGAACAGGATTTCGTTGGATTTGCGCCGTCACTGCTTCGATGATCGCTGGTGTCCTAACTGTACGATGTCGGCCGGTCCTCTTACGATCTTCGAAGCTTAAATCTTCAGTTAATTGTTTGATAGTGCGATAAACAAATCGTAGGGTTATTTTTAATTTTTGTGGAATATTGAAAATCTCTTTTGGCGCGTAACCACAGCGATGCAACGCGATAACCGCTACTCTATCTTCTTTCTTCGACCACTCCATATTTGAAAATGAATGAAAATTAATGAGTTTTTTTTATTTTCGGCAATTGAAAACGTTATATTTTTAAAATTGGTGAATTTGATCTAGCCAGTATTCAAAATTTTAAATAATAAGGTTTTGACAGAACTTATGACCCGACTAAGTATATAATATATCACTTCGTAATAATGGATCACTTCAACGCCAGTATTTGTTTTACTGTTGTGTAGAATCACAAGTAACAAAATTAGCTTTACATAATAATTCCTTATATTTACGCGAACACTACACATTGATTAAAACTACTTTTACGGATTTTATTGCGTTTATTTTACTATTATTTTTAATTCCCGACGTTTCTGGCGCTTTCCAGCACCCATGGTCACGGGGGACTGAGATCCCGATGTCATTGTTAAGCCCGGAGTACCTTCAGCTTTTTTAATTATTGTTTACCATAAAAGTAGTTTTAATCAAAATTAGCTTTTTAACATTGAAATTTTATACGATGAATAAGAAAAGTGAAAATTTTAACGAGGTTTTCATTTTTGGCCCTCAGCTATAATAAGAAATCTCGAACATCATGATCAGATTATGAAAGCATTTGCCTACCTTTTCGTATTAAAAACTTATTTTATAAATACTTAAAAATTGAATTGTCCTGTAAGAGACTAATTTGTATTGTTTTCTTTTTTTAGTCTAATGTTATAATTTTATTAATTTGTTCGAGAACGTAATAAAAGAAATAAAGCAATTGTTGTCGGCAACACTCATAGGAGATTATGTTAGCAAACCAACAGTTGTGTATAATATATTAAATTTGAAAAGTATTGTAATACCTGTCGATGAGCGTTTTATTCAAATGCAGAGTCTGGCTGTGGACCAGATCCTTCATCTCCAACAGTATCAGATGTATACCGTGGTCGATGCGCTTTTTGTTTGCGATCACGTTGTCGGCTGTTTGTAACATCACATGTTCATTCTTTGAGAGAGCTTGGACCTGTTTGTAAAATTTAGGAATATTAATATTTTTGCGCGCCACAATTAGTGCCTGGTACATGGCAACACTAATTACCACTAGCGCCCTCTAGTATCGATAAGTAGAACTAGGAGAGTCAAGATCTTTTATGAAATTTCCATGGAAGAACAATCTTAAACTATCGACATGTAATCAGTTGGGACCGGTATGCACTGGGGCATTCTAGATGTTTCTACAGTAGAAGGTTCTGGAACTAAGACCCTAAATAAGGCCGGTATAGACCGGGACCCGGGTCAGTATTGAAATGGCGATTCAAGCGAATACTTCGAAGCGATACAACTGCGAACTAAAGTGATCAGTAGTACAATTGCGTTTTGTTATTAGTGTGGTTTTAAGTTGTAATTAGTGTTGTGTATTTAAAGTATCAATTTTGGTAATTCACTCGGTAGTTTTTAATTGTCTCGAACCCCAAGCTCGTAACAATATTTAAGACAATATAATACCGTTACCGCTACCGTTACAACCTATCAAAGTCCACTAATAAACCAAGGTTCCCCTGTAGATTGCCACACAGGGATATTTGCTGCGTTTGGCAGGCAGGTCTTATTTTTTAGTTTTTGTTACCTGCTGCTTTGGAAACTGCTGCCCATCTCCTGATTTGTGTCCCTCTGTCGCCACTTACGTAGCCCACGTACATATGTGATAGTAAATACCCCGCCACTATACAATCAAAATTATCAACCAATTTAATTTGATATTAGTACGACAAATTATATTTTCCGCGTAGTTAGTGCTCGGAGTACAAGACTAGTGAGCAACAAAAAGGGGTATCGGTTCAATGTTTGTACAAAAGTATAAATTATTGATATTCGGGTAGCCATGTGTCGCGACTTTGTCATTGATGTTGCATTCCGGTAGGTACATCTGATTCCGTAATTTATTGGAGTATCTTTATACTGGTAAAACAATGGCAGTATTGTAGTACGCAAATTGCATACATAAGCACTCATGCCTGTCACCCAGAAGGTAGAGACTACAGACTTCCATTTGGTACGATGCTGACACACCTTTTTCGCCTCTTCCACATTCATATACCTACGCATACATGCTCGTCGGTTAAGGGTACTCTTAATTTGGCCCCTTTTCAATAGATCGCCTATTTGGTCGACAAACATTCGCAAAGGGTGTCCCTTACCGACTCTGCCGTTCACTTCTGCAACATAAATTTGTTTTGTCACTCTTTCCTCATTCATTCTTTCTAGATGACCAAACCACCGAAGCATTACTTTCTTAATCCTCGTCACAACATCATCTTGCATACCATACTCTTCTCTTATTACACAATTTCCCACCCTGTCACTCAGATTCAGCCCTAAAATCCTTAACAACCGCGTTTCTACTGCGTTTATTCTACTCTCGTCCTTCTTCTGCCATGCCCAACTTTCACTACCATACGTTAAAGTAGGGACTAACACAGCATTGTGAATTGCCATACGTGCCTTTTTTGACACATTCTGACTTTCCACAATATAGTGTAGAGCCCCGCTTACTTAATTTCCTGCGTTCACTCGTCGATCTATATCATTATCATATCTCCCATCCCTGCTGCTGCATCCCAAATATACAAACTCATCTACTTGGTCAACCAACTATCCTTCTATTCTTATTTCACATGTTGTTTTACTTCTTATCTTTCAAAAAGCATAACTTTCGTCTTACTTGCGTTCACTTTCATTCCCCTTTCTTTTAACGACCTTTTCATTAATTTAACTATCTTTTTTTTTAAGGAAGAGGGGGCAAACGAGCATGCGGCTCACCTAATGTTAAGTGACTACCGCCGCCCAAGATCAACCGCAACACCAGCGGAATTGCAGGTGCATTGCCGGCGTTTTATAAAGGAGTAAGCTCTTTTCTTGAAGGTCCCCAGGTCGTATCGGTCCGGAAAAATCGCCGGTGGTAAACTATACACCAGAGAGGTTGTACGTGGAAGAAAACTCCTTTTGAAACACACAGTGCTGGACCGCCCAGCATCCAGATGGTGTGGATGGTATCGGGACGTTTGCCGCGTAGTGCGTTCACGAAATTTGGCGGCTGGGATTAATCCGAACAATTCCTCAGAACACTCTCCTTGTAATATGCGAAAGAAAATGCAAAGAGATGCAACATCTCTTCGCAGTGCCAGCGAATTGAGCCGATCGGAAAGCACTCGGTCGTCGACGATTCGAGCCGCTCTGCGCTGGATGCGGTCAAGTGGAAGGACTGGGGAGCCCCAGCCCAGAGATGGGAACAGTATTCCATGTGCGGCCGAATCTGCGCCTTGTAAAGTTGCAGGTGGTGTGCCGGCATGAAATACTGTCCCGCTCTGCTGAGTACGCCAAGCTTTTTAGAGGCCAATTTGGCCTTCTCTTCCAAGCGACCACGAAACTGCACGTCGCTCGATATGTCGACGACGGTTCGAGGCTGAGGCAACAAGGGGAGTGCCTTGAAACTGAGGAGATACGACAAAGGGGTTCTTTTTAGCGGTTAACGCGCAAACTTGTGTCTTCTGGGGTTTAAACTGGACTAGATTTAGTCGCCCCCAATCCGAGACTCGTTCAGCAAAGACTCGACTTCAGACACAAGTTTGTCCCGGCACTCGGAGACGTTTTCCCGAGAAATATTGGCTCGGCCGGTGTAAAGAGCATCACCAGTGCTGTCATATGCATAGCAATGAATGTTACGGGTTTGCAACATATCATTGATATGCAGAAGAAACAGCGTTGGCGATAGCACGCAGCCTTGTGGAACACCAGCATTAATAGGCTTGCAATCGGAGCTTGCACCGTCTGCAACAGCGGTACTCTAAGTGTTCCGCGGAACCCTAGGGTTCCGCGATACCTGTGTAGGGGTTCCGCAAGAATTTAGAAAAAAAAATCAAAACACCTCTCTCTGGTCACTAGTCGAACGTTTTGACTCCGCCCGCCCCGCGTATACTTGCGAGCGCGCAGTCCCTTTGATAAAAGCCGCCTCTGAATTAGACGCTATAGTTGTGAACAAGCGACTTTCGGCTCTATCTTCAAAAACATAAAGTCGAGATTGTTTACAACGCATTTTTTTTGTATTTCCACTTTTTGTTTATCAAAGGCGCCGACTCGAGTATTTTTGAGAATGTTCGAGTTCGAGTCTAGGACTAAGTATAAAAGCGGTGATCGCGCGTCGCGCCTCGTCAGTCAGTTGACGATTAGCGTTCGGAGCGATAAGTTCCTACCTACCTACTTACAAGCTGGCTAGCGAATTGCGGAGTTTAAACGTGATATGAAACTAGTGTTCATTGTTCTACTGCCTGCTTTATTCTGATTGTATCAGTTTTGTACATTTCTTCTTTGGACTAAACTTTGTCTCATAGTAACGATTTTGCATTATTTTGACCCCACCATCCTGACGTGGAACATTATTAATAAAGAAGAATGGAACGTTGGCTTAAAGGCGTTAAACGTGTTGCAATAACATCTTCTAATGACGCTGAATGTTCAAAAGCAGTACGCGCGGAGAATACAGCAATTACCGATCCAGACGATGATGACACGACGTCAAGCTCGACGGTTTCGAAGACGAAAAAAAGGAAGTATGATGAATCATATATCAGTTTCGGATTTGTTGATTCCAACGGCTCACCTCTCTCCATGTTATGTAGTAAACTGCTTCCTAATAGTTCCATGGCAGCTGCCAAATTGCGCAGACGTTTAGAAATTGTACACCCCGAGTCTAAAGACAAGAATAAAGAATTTTTTGTTCGTAAAAATGAACAGTTAATGGAAAGTCAAAAAAATATGATGCATGTAACACAAACTATCAATGAAAAGGCCACGGAGGCACCATATTTAGTTAGCTATCGTATTGCACAAGCAGGTGAAGCGCACTCTATCGCTAAGAATTTAATAAAGCCATGTGTGTTAGACATAACAAAATGTATGCTCGATGAAAAATCTGCAAAGCATCTTTCTATTGTACCGCTATCAAACGATACTGTTTCACGGCGAATCCATGATCTGGCAAGCTACGTCAAACAAGAACTAGTTGCACGTCTACAAAAAACACGATTCGCCTTGCAAATGGATGAGTCATCTGATGTCACAGGTGAGATCGCGAGATATTCATATGAACGTTCTTTTGAAGAAGACATGCTTATGTGTTCACCGCTACCGGGGAAGAAATTTTAATAAAATAAACATATTTTTTAAGGAAAATAATCTTAGTTGGAACGATTGCATTGACATTTGTACGTATGGGGCCAAGGTGATGACAGGTAAAACAGCAGGAGCAGTATCACGAATAAAAAGTAAAACGCCTAATGTAGTTCCAGCCATTGTATTCTGCGATGAAGCAAATGCCGTCAAATCTAAAATTAGTTATGGATGAAGCGGTAAAAATAATTAATTTTATCAAATCACGACCACTACAATCCCGATTGTTCTCATTATTGTGTGAAGATTATGGCAGCAAACATAAAACACTGCTGCTCCATACAGAAGTGCGATGGCTGTCTCGGGGTAAAACTTTAACAAGGCTATTTGAACTTACAAATGTTTCTTTCAGCAGATACAATTTCTTTTAATTTGAAAGACCGTTTGTATGATTAAACTTGGTTATTCCGATTGTCTTTTATGGCGGATATCTTTCAAAAACTGAACGAATTGAATTTATCATTGCAAGGTAAAGAGACAATAGTATTCTAGGCCTATAACAAAATAACTGCCTTCAAAAGAAAATTAGATTTTTGGATTATCTGCGTTGGTAAGAGAGAAATAGAAAGCTTTACGTCACTCAGTGAGTTTCTTAGCGATAACGACTCAGAAATGTTTCAAGATGATGGAATTAGTCCAATATCTCACTTCAATGCGCGCATCTTTTGAAAAGTATATAAGATTTTTTTCATTTTTAATATCTTCTATTTAGTACTTGCCATGTGGTAAAGTAAGTAATAATTAGTAACTGTTACATTGTACTTTTATTATGCTTATATAATAAAGAATACACTTTTAAAAACTATTGTTTTATTGTAGGGTTCTGTCTAGTATTTTGCTTGTCAAAAGGGTTCCGTGACCAAAAAGTTTGAGAACCGCTGGTCTACAAGATCACCAGCTGACCGACCACGGCGAAAACCGTATTGGCGGTCACTAATCAGCTGGTGATCCTCAAGGTACCTCATGAGGTGGCAGTTTACAATGGACTCCATTGTTTTGGAGAACAAGGAGGTGATGGCGATAGGCCGGTAGTTGGACGGGTCTGAGCGGTCGCCTTTTTTAGGGATCGGGTGGACGAAAGCCGTCTTCCATGATTTTGGGACTACGCCTAGGGAGTACCGGAAAAGACGCGTTAAAACCGGTGCCAACTTACATGCACATGTCCTCAGCACAATTGGGGGGGATTCCGTCAGGCCCACTCGACTTGTGGATGTCCAGGGAGAGGAGTGCTTTGCGAATCGAGCGCTGTGTGAACTGCAATTCCGGCATGGAGCACTCACACCGCGGGATGGTCGGCGGGGTACTCCCCCCGTCATCGAGAGTCGAGTTGGACGCAAAGAAAAGCCTAGATGATTGGCTTTCTCCTTTGCGGTATGGGCCAGTGAGTCGTCCTCCCTGTGCAGAGATGGAAGAGATGGCTGACAGAAATTCCCCTGGACAGCCTTGGCGAGAGACCAGAATGCACGGATTCCAGAAGGAAGGCGAAACGCGGAAGCGGAGCTTCCACTTCACGCCGGTATTCTGTGAGGTCGTGGTACCACCGGCCCATACGTGCAACAGCAAAGCTGCCGCGTGGCTCTACCACTGTTAAACTATTTTGCAACTCGGCCGCGTGCGATGCAAATATAACTTGATCATCGGCGTACCTATGTTGGATCCCCCGTAAACTCTTATATCTACCACTGCACTCCTCATTATTTCATCTACAATTACGAAATTTATTATGCTTCTATCACCACCTCTTTCCCATGTATACGTGTAAATCTTCTTATAACGAAAGAAAGTGTTACACAAACAAGGCTTACACTTTTCTCATGTATACCTACTTTCATCACCAAACGTTCCCAATATCCTTTCATAACCAAGCCTCTTCACCCCAACGCTTCCATTAAAATCTCCTAACTTAACAATATTTTCACTTCTATTACATTTCATTAACATCATCCTTACCATCTCCCAAAACTGCTCTCTGATATAAGTGGGCTTAGACATGTCTGGGGCGTAGACCCCTAGAACAAACAACTTCCTTAAGCCCATTTTCATTCGTATCCATAGCGTTCATACTCTTTCACACATTGACTCATTCTTTCTGAAAGAATGATACCGACCCCCTGGCATGCCCGCTCGGTCTCATCTACCCGAGACCAGTACGCGGTATACATGCCATGAGTGTATACCGCGAGTGACATCCAAAATTGCACACTTTTCTAAATGTATTATTATAAAATACCGTTACCGTTATATAGCCTATTAAAGTTCACTGTTTAACCTAGGCCTCCATCATAGATTGCCTAATAGGAAAAATATTTGGCATAGTTGTCACGCTCGGCAAGCGGGTTGACAACCACAGTCATTTAGTCGTTATTAGGAAAACGTTGCTGCCTATCTCCTGATTTGTTGCCCTCTCTCGCCTCTTACGACACCCACGGAATGATATGGAGTAGGGGATATTCTTACACCGCCACTTCACGGTACAAATATATTATAAAAATACATATCCGTAAAATATATTATATTAATAATTATATAAACGATATAATGATAAAATACGATCTAGAGGCGTTATAATGAAAAAGCTATTTTTAATATCTTCATTTACACCGTCAATTATAGATGATGGACCTTTAAAAATTTTGTAACAAAATTGCTTAATTTTCTGTATTAACAGTTTTTTTTGAAGTAAAACCTTCTTTGGCAGGGTGTGGACCGCGAAATCGAAAGATTCTGGGTTAAAGGGAATTTTGGTACCCAATGTTAAGCATTGCTAGTATAAAATAAGTGTTTCCTATTATTACGGGCTCCTTATTGTGCGGTGCTTTAAAGATGATTAATATAAACTTGTATTTTTATCTGTTAAAATAAACAGTTAAAAATATTACGCGCTTCTAGCGCTTTTTTTCTTATAGAATAAGGGTGACAAACGAGCACACAGTCCACCTGATGGTAAGTGGATGCTGTGGCCCTACATTTGGTGTGTGACATTTACATTTATCCCCGATTAAGAATCAAAATGCAGATACGTTTTCAGCCCTGAGGACTAAGATGTAATGAGTCAAAATGCAGATGCGTTTTCACCCCTGAGGACTAAGATGTAACGCCTCGCTTCAAGTAAAAAAGGGTATCCGGATCTCTACACTCACCATACGAAACACAGCGGTATTAAGCTGCTATTTTACGCTGGTATTCTGTGAGAGCGTGGTTCTTCCCCGGTCGAGCCGACCCATTCGTGCTACAACCATAATATAGCTGCAGCGTGGCTCTACCACGTACCACTTTAAGAGTCAAAAATTTTTGTTCGATTAAAATTACTTTACCTATAGAATAAAGTAGGTGGCGCTATTAAATAGGAATTTTACTCGAAAGAAAATATTCTTTTGATTTATTAGACCAGAAATAAGGATTGTAACAATTACTTGCTACAAAATTAAACTTTAATCTTATATTGTATGCCGGACTCGTGGTTGAAAATGATCATATTAAATAAATATAAATAAAATATAACATAAAAAAATTATGTATTTTTATAGTATAAGAATGGCAACTTATGGTAAGCGGTAACTCCAGCTGCAACCAATGAGGACTAAGATGATATACCTCATTTTAAAGTGACTCATATGATTAATCATTATAATGTCCTCCAGACCGAATTTCGGCTACAGCGGCCTGTCTCAACGGAAACTGATCTGCGAGAATTATAGTGGCCAAGTGTATATGCGCAAATACCGATGAAATCTCTATTCACTCTAGTTCGATGGGATGGTAATACGATGCGACCGGAGAGAAATTCGGCACGCGACGACTTTACGTGCTTTCTGAGGCACAGGGGTGTTACACTGCCAACTTCTTCACTTAGGGCTGCTGCTAAGAATTTTTCAGTAGCAGCCCTAAGTCAAGAAAGACAGAAAAACCCAATAAAATTGGGTGCGTTTGGCAGAAAAAAGCGCTAGCAAGAGCTTATAAGCGCTGAAATAGTTTTCGGCCAGGACACGATTGCTACTTCGGTAGCGCTGACACAATCCGCCATTTTGCTTATTTAATTTTGTTTGTTTTGAAGTAGAGATTATAAGTTGTTTTGTGCAATATTAGTTTTAAGTAATATAATGACATGAATAAACATATACATGTTATTAAAAATTCATGATTGGTAAGTTTTTAATATGAATACTTTACAAACATATATTTAAATTAGGTTAGGTTTCCCGGTTAAAACTAACATCGTGTCCTGGAGGAAAATAGCTACTTACGATTTGACAGCGCTTACCGCTTACGATCGCCATTTTGCTTACAAGCGCTTGCTAGCGCTTTTTTCTGCCAAACGCACCCATTGGAACGACCCTGGTTTCGAACCCGTAACCTCATGATTAACGACCACTAGACCAACGAGATAGAGTAGACTTTAAATATAAAACTGGCTCAGTCCTACAAACCGGATCGCAGAATTTGGTGCACTGTTGCTTATCGACAGAAATTCTAAAAATAAAAATAAAAACTAGAAACTGAAGGTAAAATTTATCGTAAATATATGTCAGGTAGATTTGTAATAACCTCTGTAAGCAATGTACCGTAGCTGCTCAAAATATCGTTGTATGCGCGCTCACTCATTGTGTTGCTCTGTGTCAGGCTGTTCTGAATGTCTACGTTGGTGGCCGCCAGGCGATCGCTCATTTCACGAAGTTTGTTTGTTATCTTGGATGTAGCTATAAGAAAATCAAAATTTTAAATACCTAGTGTATTAAATAAAACAATTTTCTACTTAAATTTTATTTATATGATTATTATAGCAGTACAGGAGCAGGAGTACCTCAGCATTGTGCTTAATGACTTCAATATCTCCCAACAGAGAAAGGAGACAGAGGTTTTAGATAAACATGACAAAAATCATGTTCAGCGTCAATATTGTACCTACTTGGGACAAAATGTTCGATTAAGTCAGTCTAATTTCGACCAACTATGATTTCAACTCCGCTGGTCTGCTTTTAGGAAAATCTAGTATACCTCAGAATTTTAAAACAAAAGCGTACAAGTAGTGTTTATAGTATTAAGAAGTGCCACATGGAGAGTTATACTTGGGAGTTTCTCTGCTTGACAAAATCCGTTAAGAGGATATCCGCAGAAAAACAAGTAGGGTAATTGACATAGAATAGAAAACTGGATACATATTTTAAGTTTTTACATTTCGCACACAAAAAATAAATAGACTGACAAACGAGTTAAAAGTCCACCTTATGGTATATTGTGAAACCTGGTACGGCGATCTATCTCCCTCGTCCCCACCACGAGAGAGACCCATGTATGGAGTGTAGAGATAAGGAGAACAAACTCTGTATAAAAATGTGTCCGTAGAAAAGCGCTAAATAAGGGTGGCGCCACTGTAGCAAGAGTGTAAATTTTAAAGAACTTTTTATATTTTTTTATTGCACAGACTCATCATAATTCTTTTTATAATAAATATTTACTTGTTTTCCAATCTTTTTTTTTTCACAATCACTCAACGTGTACGGCGACTTTTTCTAGGTTTTATATATACTAAATTATGATATACTAAAATATGAGTAAGTAGTTGAGGTTTTAAATACTGCAGTTTCATCACCTATTCTAGTCACCACAAATATTAAATTTCTCAACTCAGCACACTTCACTCCGTCGAGAACTGCTAAGTCATTTCATACCCTCTAGCTACTCGAGCGCTGTTGTGGAGAGTTTTTGAACTGTTATTTACTGCTTACAGATGGACACATTTTCAACTATTCTCTTATGGGAGATTGTCCTCCTTACCTCCACGGATCGCTGCTATGCCACATGCAACTTTACGTACGGATGATGATTCTGCGAGAGCAAGTTCCTTTTCGGGCGAGTCGAACTACAAATACAAATGTAGAGTCACACTACATAATCTAGTGTGACTCTACATTTGGTTATACATTATTTATAGTAATTAAGTTTACTCACAATTTTCCTCTGTTTCTGTAAGATAATGTTTGATACTTTGAATTCCCTCCAATGTAAGATTCAAACCAAGCTGTGACTCCGATCGCCGGGGAAGCTCCTTCCAAGTACTTTCAGCATCGGAGAGCAACTGTTGAATTTTCTTTATATCCGCTTCTTGTCGTTCCATGACTGATAGTAAAAATAAGAAGGATAATAAAACCAAGTCTTAATATTAGTGTAGTATTAGTTATTTTAGGTTACCCTAAAAACTATTTTGTTTTAGTGAAATTTATTTGGGCGTGTACCGTGTAGATGTAGAGCATATAATTTCATGAATAAATTACACTTCACAGCGCGTAGTCTCCTGTCAAGGGCTGAAAATATCTATATATGGGAAAAGTAATAAGAAAAGAAGCCAGTCAGATTGATCAAGACGGTAAAAAGATTAATAATGTGATTATAAACACAAAATTAATGTAAGTCCCAATGATTTTGAAATAAATTTCATATGTATAAAGTTAAAAAAAAATTACCGCAGTAAGTGTTAACTCGCTTTTTGCTTAGTTATTGTTTTATTTATATATATTTTTAATAGTAATTAAATTAAAAGTTGTATTTTACTTTTTAGATAATTAAGAAAGCGGTCTTTAAGTTTTCTATATAGTGTTTGCTTGATTATTTATCACATTAATTTAAAGCAGAGCCGGATGAAATCCTGTGAAATCCTTTTTGCATGTTTATTCCGAACCTCGTAAAAAAAGATTGATCACAGACCGCAGGGCCATTAGTAGTTTCTTACTTTGCCTTTAGGTTAATCCGGCTCCGATTTAAGGACGTACCGGTAGTCATCTTGTTATGCCAGGCTTCATCAGCGAGAGCAACTTCGCTGAGCGGAACGAAGTCTGTGGGCACCTTGTTCACGGTTTCGTTGTATTCGTTCAGTTTCAGCTCGTATTTATTCAACAGTTTCTCCGCTTCAGTAATGTGACGTTCGAAAGGATTCACCTCGGTCGCAATGCCCATGCACATGGCGTGCAAAGATTCCTGCTCAAAAAAGAAAACTTGTTGAGACATAAAAAATAACAAATACATTAGGTAAATACGTCTACTAATTTTATACAAACGAAAAGATACTGTTGGAAGCAAAACATTCTTTCTGTTACTTTTTTATCTGTTTCAGCGACCAAGAAGTGTGTGTTATAAATATTATTTAGTAATTTAAATATTTCTAGGCGGTGAGGCGTTTCGAGTCTTAAGGGGTGACAGTTCCTTTTTGTTTGAAGTTAATTGCAGTGTTGTATTATTAAAGCTTCAATGTAAAGAATTGTAAGTGATTATAGACAAGCTCGCTAGCAAACAACCGAGATTTGTCAACTATGTTGGTGCACTATAACTCTACAATATTGACTTGTTGACTGCCTCGTTAGTCTTGGTCTTGGGTTGGAATCCCGGGTGGGGTCAAAAAATCAATTATTGAGATTTTCCGTCAAGACATTCTCAGTAGTTGCCCGGAGTCAGGAAGTTGGCGGTGTCTCACCCCCGTGCCTCGGAAAGCACATAAAGTCGTTGTTCCTATGGCTGATCTCTTTCCGGTCGTGTCGATTTACCGTCCCATCGGATTATGAGAGTAAGGGAATAGAGAGTGCACCTGTGCTTTGCGCATACACTTGGGCACTATAATCGTGTCCTGTGCAGATGGTTAGTCTCCGTTGAGGCAGACCACCGTGACCGAAATTCGTTCTGGAGGACATTATTATTACTCTACAACAATATTCGTCCACTAACGTATCATAACGTTGTATAACGGACTGTATCAACATTTCAGGAGCTAGAAACTGTCATCCACTGATAAACTCGTCATAGTAACTAGACGTTTTATCTATTTATTAATTTATTTTGAACTTTGAAAAAATTTTATAGGGTAAAAATCTGATGAGGCTAACTCCAAATGACATATTATATAAATTAATAATAATTATTAATAATAATTCCCCCGCGATTTCTATCGGAAATATGATAAATTATTAGTGAAATTTAATATAATATAGATATTGTATAGTACTCGTATTTCTTCATTCTTTACCCTTAAAAAACTAAAAAATAACTAACCTTGCTCAAACTTTTCTTCAATACTTCAATCTCTTTCTGTATTAGGTCTAATTTTTGATCTGTGGTATCAAGTCTTTTATTTACGGACTCCTCATTCGTGGTTAAATTGTTCTCCGTGTCTGACGCTGTGCTGATAGCTTTGATATTTTTAGTTACTGTGGCTGTGAGTGTTTGAATAGACTTCTTTATTTCATCAAGCGTTTCCTCAGTCTTTTTTCGCTGCCCTTTCTCTCTTTCCTCTTTCTGATATAATAAATGTCCATTTTATTACAATTCATTTTCACGATTAAAATATTATTTAAAAAAATAATACCAATATTAAAATTGTTTGCTATCATACCTTAACACTAAACTAATTGTACTTATATTTTAGACCCCTGCCCTGGTAGCTCAGGGGCTAAGCGCTCGCTGAAACTTTCACAGTACGCGAGCAACCCGGGTTCGATCCCCGCCGGCACCAATGAAATTGTTACCTAATTGCAATTTTAAGCGCTGATTTACCATGTGCTCGGCAGTGAAGGGAAATATCGTGAAACCGACAGACAGACATGCAGTCTGAGAAATAAGAAAAACAATATTTCGAAAACAAATTTTCGCGGCGGATTTTTCCTTGTCCTAAAACCCTCGCGGAAATATGAAGAGGCATGTGCCCAGCAGTGGAAAGTATATAGACTATTACTTTTTACTTAATTTTACTTATATTTTATAATGTTTTAATTTTGGATTCTACATTATTCAGCGAAGGAATAACTGGCTTGTTAAGAGTACTTGATTACTGTTCCTTGGATCTTAGGGTCGAATCTCAGCGGGAGTCAAATTTTGACTCTGGCCTTTTTTCTTTTTGAAAAACTAAGAACCGTTAGAGAAAAAAGTTTTTAAGTGTCAGCCTTTTATCGATTGGCGAAGTGAAGCTGCAGGAAGTCTATGGATACAGGTGATTCATGGCCGTGTTTTGTGGGAGGCCTATGACCAGCTGTGGGCATTAGAGTATAAATAATAGTATAGCTGAAACGATGTAGGGTATATCATATGCGTAATCCATGATTCTATTAATACTGACTTAAAAATATTTCTTCCTACGATTATCGAAATCGAATGATTTCTAGTTTGTGTTAATTTTAAAACTTATGTAAATAGCGAGCGTATTAGTTTGTTTTTTTTTTTTTTATTGATTTAATGTATCCTTAATTAAAGTTTTTTCTTTATTGACGCATAAAATAATAATTACCTGTAATAGTATCGTCTCCACATTAGACAGCCTCTCATCGAGTCTCGATACGGTGCCCTTCATCGGTTCGAGCGCCCGATGCCTCTTCTCCAACCCAGCGACCATCTTTTTTAGTTGCTCCCCAAAATTCCTTTCGCGGAACTCGTGCCGCTCCAGCTTGTCTTCTGATACTCGGAACATGTGGATAAGAGAAAGCATCGCGTCTCGGATGTCTTCCGTGCTGGAATACAGCAAAAAATATTAATTCTTAGCCGTCGTAGCTCGACAGCTCAGCACGTATAATCCACCAATTCTAAATTGAGAGCACCTAATTTTTCGTTTAATTATAACCCTTTCAGAAAGAAATGAGAAGAATTTGACAGCTGTTATAAGATATTGAGGTCTATTAAAAGTCGTAAATCTCAGAAACTATTATGGACGCCACACACGGTCAGTTCAACTGATCATTCCAACTGATCAGTTCAAACTAAAACTGTTGATATTTTTTAAAATATTGAATTTTCGATATATTGATAGTATATAGTATATATCAATATCGGAGTTATATTTTATATATATATATATATATATATATATATATATATATATATATATATATATATATATGTAATTTTATTTATCGATATATTGAAAATCCAATATTTTAAAAAATATCAACAGTTTTAGTTTGAACTGATCAGTTGGACTGACCGTGTGTGGCGACCATTGGAGGTTTTATTTGGTCTTCACAAAGGGACCGACTAATTTACGAAGAAGGTTTATAATTTAATATTTTGTACAAATTAAGAATATCTACTATAACCATATCGTCCAGTAGCTGACATAAGAGACGACAATGGGAAACGAAATGTTCAAAAACTATGTTCATTAGTGAACTTTTTATTGGTTGTTCAATTTTTATCAGGAAAATGCTGCTGCCCATCTTCTGTTCAGTTTGCTTCTGTCGCCTCTTATGGCACCTACAGGGTGATATGGGGTAGTGGTGGATATTCTTACGCCGCAACTTCACATCATTAGATAAATGTGAATTTAGCAAGTATAATACTAAACTAAACGGACCGTAATTGATTTCGTATTTGCTCTTAGTGTACGTTTACACAGACCGGCTCGGAGAGTATCGGACGGTGCTCTTCTTATCACACAGATCTGCGCCAGATGGAACCGTCCGGAGCCAACCAAACCGTTTCACACAGAACGGCTGGAAGAGTAGGTACTGTTAAAGTGGATGCGCTTGAAGCCGAGCATGTGCTCTTCGAAGGCGTTTACTAGGTACCTCTACTGTCACACAGTTCGTCTTTTTTTTTTGATGTGTTATTAGGTGTGATTTTAAATTGAGACATGGATAGCTCCGATGAAGAAATACATTTGTTAGCAAAATTGTTTGAAGCAGAACAAAACAACGAAAGTGCAAGCAGAGAGAAGGGTGGTTGTATGCGCACGCGGAGCGAGAGGACGTAATCGGAGCCGGTCGGCTACGCAAGCGCGAAAGAGCACGCAAAAGGAGCCGGCCGTCTTGCCGAGCGCGAAATACGCGACAACTTAGGCAGCCGGTCTAATAGCCGGTAATAATATAATAAATAGTTTTACACTAAGTGCATTAGGTCAGTTCTAAAGCATCCTTATATAATAAAAGAAGTGAAATGTAAAAATAAACCTTATGTCAATAATCTAAAGCTCTATTTTAATCGTGATCAAAATTTGCTCTCTTCTCCAAGCCGATCTGTGTGAACGGACCCTTATAGTTGACTGCCTAGTTGGTCTAGTGGTAGTATACGCAATTACTAATCATAAGGTCCAGGGTTCGAACCCCGGTTTGGTTAAAAATCAGTTATTGGGCTATCTGTCAAGAAATTCTCAGTAGCAGTCCGGAGTTAGGAAGTTGGTGGTATTTCACCCTCGTACTCGAAAACTGTACCATCGGACTATGAGAGTGAGGGAACGGAGAGTGCACCTGTGCTCATACTCGGGCACTATAACTCCGCAGAGGCTAGACACCGTTGAGACTGGCCACCAGAGGACATTCATTTATGGTGGATTTTGTATTTATGACCATTGTTCTAGGTTGAAGCTGTAGTATCAGTGGATGCATGTGAATGATTTATTGTTGGTTGTGATGATTCATATTGTAATCACATTAGAAATGCTGGAAATCTTCATCATAACGCAAACCGACACTGTAAATGGCAACAACTCTAAATACAATTGGTACGATTACATATCAAGTTCTCAATTTTGTAAGAAATATAGTGCTGCAATATGTATTTTTGCGTTCAAATATAGAGACTTTAAAGTAGAATAGTTAAGGAAGTAAGAACGTGACCTACCTCCAGCAGCAAATAAGAAAAAAATTGGATTAAGGAGTACTTCCACTATAAAAGAACTGTAATAAATTTTATTTTTGAGCTGATTGATTAAAACTACTTTTACGGATTTTATCTCGTTTAATTTTAATTTTTCCTAATTTTTTTTATTCCCGACATTTCGGGTGCTTTCCAGCACCCATGGTCACCGGGTACTTAGGTGACAGACGTCCCGATGCCATTGTTAAACCCGGCGTACCTTCAGCTTTTTTTAAATATTGTTTATGGTCCGATCTATGCAAAATGAATTAACTATGTCTTGAGGTCTTGCAGTGGTGGTCTACTTACCGGTGTGGATTTCTAGGGATTTTACAATTTTAATGGTGAGGAGATACTCTTCATCATCACTTGGTTTCATAAATCTTGGAAACACAATTATTAAGACAATAAACAAAATGTAAACAAAAAGATTTATAAGCAACAAATGAAATGTATTAACAGCTATCTAATTTTCCACTTCAAGTGCAGTCGAATACGAACTTCGGTCTAAATTATAAATACACACCACTTGTAACTGGCATGCTTTTCTTATTTTCGAGTTATTATACAAGTTCCTTATCAGTGTAAGAAATTCGTGTGTAGTATTTCGTACTTACTGATGTTACATAAAGCGTCACCTTTCTCCGCTAACCTTAGTTTAAAACTTAGGGACGTTATGTAACGTGCGTAATGCTTCTTTACGTAGGTATCTATTGATTCTTAATTATAAATTGAAGACAAATTTACATGCGCATACATGTTGGAACACATTTTACAAGTAAGAGCTACGTTTTTACTTATAAACGAGCATATTATAGTATCGCTGTTAGTTTGTGGATGCTGCAGCTCACAAATACCTGTTCTCTATCTGTCCTCTATTAAATAGCTTTTAAAATAGCAGACCGAATTTCGGCCACGGCGGCCTGCTTCAACGGAGCCATCGGCGCAGGACAGGTTTATAGTGCCCAAGTGTATGCACAAGCACAGGTGCACTCTCTGTTCCCTCACTCTCGTAATCCGATGGGACGGTAAACCGACACGACCGGGAGAGAGATCAGGCGCAGGACCAACGGTTTACGTGCTTTTCCGAGGCACGGGGGTGAGACACCGCCAACTCACTGACTCCGGGCAGCTACTGAGAATATTTTTTTTTTCTTGGTTGTTTTTTTTTTTTTTTTTTTTTTTTTTTTTTTTTTTTTCTTTTTTTTTGACAGAAAAAGTCAATAATTGATTTTTTGGCCCGACCCGGGATTCGAATTCGGCGAATGGCTCTGGAGTTCTTCCTTCACGTGGTTGCCGCCTTTTATTTGGTCTGATTCAATAGGAAACAGACAGAATTGAAATACTTAGACGTACCTCTTATCTTTTATCCCACCCCCTTTTTCCCATTCTAGCCCAATCCAAGTTGTCAAGCGTACCGTTCCGATGGATGCGTGGCTGGAGGGAGTCCAGTCGCAAACGGTGCCTAACCAGCCAGGGCAATTCGGGTAGTATTTTAGCCCTTCCCTCGGCATGCGGGGCTCTGCCGGGGGTGACCGATTTCCCTAGCTAATCGTGGGACCAAAATGGATGAAAATCGACATTTTGAAAAGATTACCGAAAAATCTTTTCTAATGGTACTATCTGTAGATTTGGAAGAGGCTCTTTTAGCCTCACCAATATCCTGCAACACTATGCCCCAACCTGGGACGAGTCGTGAAGTGGAGGGCACGTCTGCAACCGAATCACAATCGGAAACGAACCAGGGAGGGGAAAAGAAAAAGTACGCTATGCCTTATAAGCTTAGTGGGGCAGCAAGGAAGAGGTACCGACGGCTGATAGCAGCTGAGATCAGAGCCGAAGAGGCCCTCTCTCTCTGCCAGAAGCCCTTGGACTAAATTCCTCTGCCCAAATCTCCCCCAGTTCTGAGGGCGAAAAAACGCAGTCGATCTGAGGAAGAGTCCCCCAAAGACCAGCCCAGGAAGTCTGTGAAGTTGGCAACGGGGGAGAAGAAGCTCAGCTTCAGTACCGTAGCTGGCTCCACGCGTGTGGGAATTCGCAATTCGAATCCCACGAGTGTGGACCAGATGTGGCTGGTCCACCGGGCACTAACACGGGCCATCTCTAAGACAGCCTGTGGTGTGGAAAATTTCTTTCCCAGGACTTTTCGGTTGGTGGACTTTAAAGGAAAAGCCTAGTACCTTAAACTCTTTCCAATAAATCACTTAAGATCTGGTCTGACACACCAGGCTTAAAACATTCTAAAACCTTAATCCGGGCTTTTGATCGTAACTTCGCTTCAGAAGCCCTGGGATTAAGTAAAAATAAATTGCGCATTCTGGCAAGAGCCCTAACTGGACACTGTTGTCTTAAAAAGCACTACAGCATTCAAGCATCCATCCTGGGACTAAGCAACTCAAGGATGTGTCGGTTCTGTTCCATAACGGAAGAAACGCTCTAACATCCTAACTGATTGCGGACCCTTATTGCGCAAACTTAACACTCATCTGGGAAACTATGTACTCCGCCCAGAAGAAGTGAAATTGCTAGCCCTATATCTTCAATGAATAGAAGGAGTTGCTTAGCCGTGAACTATAATCATAGCAGCGATCACAATAGATCTTCTAAGTCGCAGTGATACTGGTCTCTTTCCCTAGACCTGCATAGCTGCTCACACTTAATAAAAAAATTCTTATATTTTATGCTGAACTTGTAGTTTAAATTATAATATTAAATAAATCATTTGCCGTAAAGTATTTGTATTTTATATTGCATTTCATTTGAAGGTTTCGATTCTGTCGCGTGTGAGTTTCGCGCTTCGCTCGCTCAATAAAACACCGAAATATTAATTTTTATAATTAATTTAAACTATAAACATAATTATAGCTACCACAACTTGTAA